GGCCCCGGGACGGCCAGGGTGGCAGGACATCTCCGCGGGGCCATCGGGGTGTGCTTGCATGCCTCCTGGTCACCCGTTTGATCGCGACACTCCCAAGCGACACCCCTCCTGCTCCCTTCCTCCTGCCTTCTCCTCCTCCTCCTTTTCCTCCTTATCCTCCTCCTTCTCCTCCTACTCATACTCCTCCTCCCTCCTCCTCCCTCGACCTCCTCCTCCTTCTCCTCCCACTTTCCTTCCCCCCTTGACAACTCCTCCTCCTCCTCCTCCTCCTCCTCCTCCTCCTCCTCCTCCTCCTCCTCCGCCTCGTCGTCGTCCTCCGCCTCCTCATCGTCCTCGTCTCACTGCTACTCTTCCGTATCATCTTCATTTGACCCTTCCCCCTCCCCAGCCCCGCCCTACCCCATTTCCCTCTGGCGGGGGCCACCGGCACGGACGCGATGCAAGCGTGCCACGTCCAAGGACGTCCATCTCAAGAGCCCCTGTCGTCCCGAGGCGGGACGACGAGGGGCATGACGACATGTGGGATCCTTGCTGCTGGACTGGCAGGAGAAGCACCGGCACAGACACACAACCGCGGAGGCCCGCGCAGACTTCTTGGATCTGCGCTGGGCTTCCCTCTCTGGCGCGCGGAGCGCGCCACGGGCGGCGCCATGGGGAGCCGCCAGGGGGCTCTAGACGTCCGCGCAAACCTTCGAAAGCTTGTGTTCATGCCGATTTTTCTTCTCCGACGGAGTGGGCTTCGGGAAACATTCATCGGAACCACCAACTGAGGTGACGAACGAACAACACACACACCCATACACACAGGGGGCGGCGGGGGTTATGGGTGCGTGTTGTCGGAAGGGGGTCTCCGCTCGAACGGGAGCCTTCCCAAGGAGGTCTGACAACCCGCACCGCTACCCATAGCCAGTCCTCCTCCCTCCGACCTCCGCATGGATATGGGTGTGTGTTGTTCCTTCGTCGTGAGGGGGTGAACGGCCCTGCCAAAACGTGGGACGCCCGAATGCGCGGGATGCCCTGGGCCCCACCTGGGCGCCCCCCTCTCCCGCTCCCGCCTCCCCCTCCAACTCCTCCTCCTCCTCCTCCTCCTCCTCCTCCTTCTCCTCCTTCTCCTCCTCCCCCTCCCTCCTCCTCCTCCTCCTCCTCCTCCTCCCTCCTCCTCCTCCTCTCCCCTCCTCCTCCTCCTCCTCCTCCTCCTCCTCCTCCTCCTCCTCCTCCTCCTCCTCCTCCTCCTCCTCCTCCTCCTCCTCGTCCTCCTCTCCTGCTCCTCGCCGCCGCCCCGGAGACCCCCGCCCCCCTCTCGCGACGCGAGTCGGTCGAAGGAGCACAGAGGGGCGAGGAGACCACCACCGCCACTGCGGCCACCCTCTGCCCACCCTCCACGTGGGCGGCGCTGGTCCCCTTCGCGACGCCCGGGCGCACTCCAGGTGCGCGGCACTGGTCCCCTTCGCAACGCCCGGGCGCACAGGGATGTTTGCGGACTGCTCTCGTCGCCCCCTCCCCCTGGAGCGCCTGGCCCCCGACCTCCAGCAGGCGCTCGGCGCTGAAGTTGACGCGCAGCAGGCCGTGGTCTGCGGAGGCCACCTGGAGGGGCAGGAGGAGATCGAGGATCGAGGGGATCGAGGAGGGGGATCAAGGATCGAGGAGGATGATTCGTCTTCATCGTCTTGCGAGCCAAGCGAACAGACCAGGACACGAGGCGAAGCGCACAAGATCGAGGAGGAGGAGGAGGAGGAGGGAGAAGGTGAAGGCGGATGATGATGATGATGATGATGATGATGATGATGATGATGATGATGATGATGACGATGATGATGATGATGATGATGATGATGATGATGATGATGATGATGATGATGATGATGATGATGATGATGCTGATGATGACGATGATGATGGTGATGATGATGATGAGGAGGAGGATGATGAGGATGAGCAGGAGAAGCGATGAGAGGGGGAGGATCGAGACTCAAGGAGGAGGAGGAGGAGGAGGAGGAGGAGGAGGAGGACTGGAGGCCGGGGGATTGTGGAGTCCCTGTGGGTTTCAGACTATTATTTACGATATTTCACGTTGCTCCTCATCATTATTCTGGTATTTCCTCTCTCGCTTTCTCTCTCTCTCTCTCTCTCAATCTCTCCCACTCCCATTCCCATTCCATTCCCATTCACATTCCCAATACCATTACCATTACCATTCCCATCCCCATTCCCATTCACTACCATCACTATTACCATTACCTTTATCTTTACCCTTACCTTTACCATTACCATTACCATGACCATGGCCATTCCAATTGCCATTGTCATTGCTGCCATTCCCATTGCCATTGCCATTACCAGTGCCGTTGCCATTGCCATTGTATTGCCATTGCCAGTCGCCACCCCGTTACCATTACCATTACCGTTACCATTACCATTATCATAACCATTACCATTCCCATTACCATTAGCCACTACCATTACCATTGCCATTACCATTAGCATTACCAACACCATTGTCATTACCATTACCATTACCATTACCATTACCGCTGCAATCACCATTACAATTCCCATTCCCATCACCATTGCCATTACCATTACCGTTAGCAGTACCATTTCCATTACCATTACCATTGCCATTATCATCACCACTACCACTACCATTTCCATTCCCGTTCCAATTACCACTACGATTCCCATTCCCATTCCCATCCCCATTACCATTACCATTACCATGACCATGACCATGACCATTACCATTGCCATGGCCATTGCTATTGCCATTGCCATTGCAGTTGCCATTCCCATTCTCATTGCCCGTACCATTACCATTACCATTGCCATCGCCGTTGCCATTACCATTGCCAATCGCTACCCCGTTACCATTGCCATAACCATTACCCTTACCGTTACCGTCACCATTACCATTCCCAGTACCATTACCATTACCATTGTGATTGCCAAGACCATTACCATTGGCATTGCCATTGCCACTCGTCACTACCATTACCATTGCCACTCGCCACTACCATTACCATTATCATTGCCATTGCCATTCGCCACTACCATTAACATTGCCAGTACCATTACCATTTCGATTCACATTCCCATTCCCAATACCATTACCAGTACCATTACCATTACCATTATCAACAACCATTGCCATTACCATTACCATTACCATTACCTTTACCTCTACCTTTACCGTTACCCTTACCCTTACCATTCCCATTTCCGTTACCACTACCACTGCCATTTCCATTTCCGTTCCCATTCCCATTCCCATTCACATTCCCGTTCCCGTTCCCATTCACATTACCATCACCATTGTCATTGCCATTGCCATTGCCAATCCCATTGCCGTTGCATTCCCATTGCCATTGCCATTGCCATTGCCATTGCCATTGCCATTGCCATTGCCATTACCATTACCGTTGCCATTGTCATTGTCATTGCCATTGCCAGTCGCTACCCCGTTACCACTATCATTACCGTTACCATCACCAGTACCATTACCATTACCTCTGTCATTACCATTACCATTCGCATTGCCATTGCCATTGCCATTAGCCACTACCATGACCATTGCCAATACCATTTCCATTGCCATTGCCATTCCCATGACCATTACCATTACCATTATCATTTCCATTACCATTACCATTACCTGTACATCTACCATTACATTTACCCTTACCCTTATCATTCCCATTTCCGTTACCACTACCACTACCATTTCCATTCCCGTTCTCGTTCCCATTCCCATTCACATTCCCATTCCCGTTCCCATTCCCACTACCATTGCCATTACAATTACACTTACCATTGCCGTTGCCACTGCCATGGCCATTATCATTGTCATTGCCATTGCCATTGCCAATCCCATTGCCATTGCCATTACCATTGCCATTGTCATTGTCATTGCCATTGCCAATCGCTACCCCGTTACCATTACCATTACCGTTACCATTACCATTACCAGTACCATTACCTCTGTCAGTACCATTACCATTACCACTGTCATTGCCATTACCATTACCATTGCCATTGCCATTCGAGGATTTCAATAGGAATCATTCAGTGGAGGGTTTCAGTAGGAATCCACATGTGGAGGATTTCAGTAGGAATCATTCAGCGGGGGGGTTCGATAGGAACCCTTCTGTCGAGAATTTGAGTGTGAATCCTTCTTATGGGGGCGTTTAATAGGAATCCTTCTGGGGGGAGCGCAGACGTGGCCACGTAGCATCTCTTTGTTTTTTCCCCCTGGCGTCCCCCCACCCCCCCCCCCAGAGAAACAAAAAAAAAAAAAAAAAAACAATCTGAGGGGGGGGACGCCAGGATCTTTTTGTTTTTGTTCTTTTTTTTTCTGGGGGGGGGGACGCCAGGAGAAAAAAAAAGGCAGAGAGGTAGGAGGAGGGGGAGAGGGAGGAGGAGGAGGAGGAGGAGGAGGAGGAGGAGGAAGAGGAGGAGGAGGAGGCGGAGGAGGAGGAGGAGGAGGAGGACGACACAGAGCAGAGTTTGCACAGAAACAGTCGCGAACTCAGCGTGAAAGCCTCGCGCGCGCGCTTTGGAACCACAGGGACTCCACAATCCCCCGTTTTCGAGGACCGAGCATGCTCCCAGGACCCCTTGAGCCGCGAACAAAAATCACGACGGGAGGACTCTGTGCCATTGCTCGGCCCTCGTCTGCGGCTCCGGGACCTTCCCCAAACCGATTCTGGAGCGATGGCGAGCTGGCCCAGGGGAAAGGGTCGGCAGTGCAGGCGGCCCTGTAGTGAAACAGTCACGACGTCGGCTGTCCGACGAGGGCCCGCGGAGAGGGAAACAAACTCCTCAGGACGTCGCTCTCTGAGGGCGCTCCCGGGGCCCGCGGGCCGGCGAAGGGGGGAGGACGGGGGAGCAGCGTCCAGGGCGCGCCCTTTTCCCCCAGGACCCGTTGGGGATCCAGGCCCTGGGCCCGAGAATGCGCCCCCCGGACCATTTTCCATGGGGCGCATGCGGCCTGACCGGAGACTCGA